GTAATTGTTAAAAGGAGTTCGGTCTAGACCTGCTCTATTTGAAAAGTGTCCTGAGATAACTTCTGTTATGAACCCTAACCCTACAAATAAAATTAAATTGAATTGAACTGAACAGGTGAGCGGCGACAGAAACTCAGTGTTTGATTCAGAGTGTACTTTATTTTCAAAGTTTAACATACAGGAAGTTGAAAAGAGCGTGATCAGCAGTCTCACGTCTCAATAAAAAAAAATCAATAACTGATCAATATCTTACTATGAAATAAAAAAGTTTCACATTTCACACAATCAATCAATAACATGACCACTGATCAACAAGCAGGGAGCAGGGTTAATATGGGCTGGTTAATCTGGGGGTTGGGCTAATATCTGCAGGTATAAGGGGGCGGGGCTTTATGCAGTATAAACTGTTTAGACTTTACAGCAGTTTCACTTCTGATCACACCCACAGTGATGTACAGTGTACTGAAGTACTCTGTGACATCACTGTGGTGAGATGTAAGTTCGACAGAAACCAGATATTCCTTTATTGATCTCATCGGACAACAGGAAGCATCGTCCTCTCCACCACTTCACATTTTCTTTTCAATAAAGCGTTTTTACAAACATTCATATCTAAAAGTGTTTATATTCTGATTTTTCAAATTTGATCATAGTTTTAATACAGCAGGTGAAAAAACTGATCTCAGGTAAGTTTGTCAGTGAATACTGATCAATTACAGAAACTCGGTTTTCACATCAGAGCAAATGTTTAAAGACAAATTCATACTTTTGGCCTCAAAGATCTGAATTATATGAGAATATCAGGGTTTTGTTTAATTTTTTATTATGTTTAATTATTATTGTTGAGTATGTAAACCACAAATAAAAATCTGAGCTGATGATGAATATTGATTGACGTGATCATCTGAGCTACAGTAAATGCAGATGGTATGGATCAGTGTCTAATATCTGATTGACTGATTGATCTTTCAGTCACAAGTAGAAGTTTTCCTCCATCGTGTACCAACAGCAGTCTCTCGTCTGATTGGCTGAGAAATGTCAAACTGTCCAATGAAAAGCGGTTACCGGACTTCCTCAGAGCTCTTTCCTTTACATCACTTCCTTTGGCGAGACATCCTCCCTGGTCGATTACTGTGCTAGACTAGTCGACTACTCTGCACAAAGCCTACGAGATAGACAGACAGGCAGGCAGACAGACAGAGAGACAGACAGACAGAGAGACAGAGAGACAGACAGGTAGATATGTTAGAGCTGGTAGAGTGAGACAGTAGGTCTGCTGCCCGCTGCAGCACAAACAACTTAACTAAAACTACACTCAGTAATATCAAACTGAATAACAAAAAAATATATTTAATATTACAACCACTACTATTACTAATAATACTACTAATAATAATAATACTTCTGTGAATGATTTATAAAACGTTTGTTGCAGTTATGAACTTTATTAGTATGTATTAAAACATTTTATCAGACAGAAATCTGATCTTGTTCTGTTTTAAATAAAAGGAAACAATGTATTTGGGACGTCACCTTTGAAATGTTCAATAATGAAAACAATTGTTAGTGATGTTTTAAATATTCAATTATTAGGTGATGATATGAAAATAAAAAGACAAAAACCATTAAAGCATGAAGAAGAGTTGACTAAATGTAACTTCATGTTGGTGACAGATTAACAGGTTCATCTGGAAGTTAGTTACAACTTGATTTATAATCACATGAAATTGATATTTTAAACATATCTGGTGTCCACATAATGATGGCCAAGTAGTGTCATTTGGCCCCTGAGTGAAAACACTGAGTTTAAATGTTGGTGTGATGGTGGAAAGAGACGATCTGCTGCTGATTGAACAAACATTTCAGCTGCTTTAATTTCCATCATTAACACAGTTTCATGTGTATATTGTGTATATTGTGTGTAATGTGTATATTGTGTTTATTGTGTGTAATGTGTATATTGTGTATTGTGTTTAATGTGTTTATTGTTGTAAATTTGTTTATTGTGTAAGTGTGTATATTGCACACCTCTTATCGTGTGTGTAACATGTGGTAATATTAGTCGTGTAAATTGCTATATTGGGGTGTAATCGTGTATCCATTCGTGTATATTGTGTATATTGTGTGTATATTGTGTATATCGTGTGTAATGTGTATATCGTGTGTAATGTGTATCATGTGTATATTGTGTGTAAGGTGTATATTGTGTGTAATGTGTATATTGTGTGTAATGTGTATATTGTGTGTAATGTGTATATTGTGTATATTGTTGTTTTGACACTGATGGTAACAACACAACAATGACCCTTTAAATAAAATCCATCAGAATCCACAAACTGACTGCACATTGATGACGGAGCTGATGGAGATCAGTTTTATATTTGACATGAATGAAAACAGATTCATTAGGAAATAACATCTTTCACATCTCTAATATCTAATATAATATCTACATTAAACACGTAACGTTTGTGGACCAGCTGCTGCAGACAACACCAGGTGAGAAAGTGCTCAGTAATTATTATTAATTCTAATTCTATTAAGCAAGATGTGCGTAGCCCTTTAACACAGAAATTACTCATAAAGTGTCTTTTTTTAATTAAACTAATAGTATACAGAAAATAAATCGTGCTTATTGTTTATAATTTTTATCATTTATTGTTTCCTATAGGACCGATATATGGTGAAAATACTCTTTGTAAACAGCAGAGGGAGCTATCTACTTTTGACTTTGTTTGTTGGACCGCTGTATTATCAGTTTCACTTTTACAAAGACAAGGAGATATTACACATTAGACAACCTCCTCCTCCCTGTGTCAGTCAGTCACAGTTGGGGTGACCACTTAATCTTAGTTTCTAATAATGCAGTGCAGTCAGGACATAGACCAGGTTTCTTAGAGGAGACAGAGTATATAATGTCTCTTTATTAACAGGAGACAAATATACATAATAATGATACATTCTGTGGAACATTCGCTCTGTGAGCTGTCCGCATACGTTACGTGTTCAGCGTAGCCAAAGAGCAACATCACTAACATCTGTCACATCTCTCATATAGATCATATTACCTGTAAGTTATATGTAGGTCATATGTAGGTCATATATCGGTCATATGTAAGTCATATGTAGGTTATATATGTGTTATGTAGTCATATGTAGGTCGTATATAAGTTATATGTAGGTCATAAATAGGACCTATATAAGTCATATGTAGGTCATATAGAGGTCATATATAAGTTATATAGGTCAAATGTAGGTTGTATATAAGTCATATGTAAGTCATATATAGGACATATATAAGTCATATACAAGTCATATATAGGTCAAATAAGTCATATGTAGGTGGATATAAGTCATATGTAGGTAATATGTAGGACATATGTAAGTCATACATAAGTCATATGTAGTCACATGTAGGTCATACATAAGTCATATGTAGGTCATATATAAGTCATATGTTGTCATATGTAGGTCATATATAAGTCATATGTAGGTCATGGCACCTTTGGCACTGCTGTCCAGGAAGACTTTGATGTAGGAGGTGGGGACATATCCCTCCTCCTCCAAGTTCCTCCGTACTCTGGTCCAGCCGTCACCTTTGTCTTCTTCCACCACAGAAAGTAGCTCTCCCTCCACCATTGACAGAGTGCCTTCATTTTGACCTGCAGTTAAGACCCCAGAGAACCAGAGTAGAACCCGAAAATAACTCACAATGTGGTCTGATTAATCAGAATCATTTCATTAGATACTGTCCCTGCATTGTCATTGGATACTGTCCCTGCATTCATTGGTTCATTCACTATCAGGCAGCCCAAATAAGTCCATTAATTCAATTCAATTTCAATTCAATTTTTTTGTATAGCGCCAATTCATAACAGAAGTTATCTCAGGACACTTTTCAAATAG